GTATTGTTAATGTTGTTAGTGGTATTGTAATTGCGCTTGTTGAATTTAGTATTATTCGTATATTAGAATCAGTAGTCTGGTTCTTAATAATAAATGTCATTAATCACATTCTTGGTTGTCTGAATATTATTGTTAGCATTAGTAATATAGTATTACGCGTACTAATTAAAAGCATTGCACCCGTTATAATTAATAGTCCTAATATTATTAGGCATAGTTTTAGTAGTCGCATTAATTGTCTCATGATGATTAGGCTGTGTATGCTTATGCGTAGTACTCGTGCGTCGTATTATCATCATGTGTTATATTAGTATTCGTTTTCTTAGTCTTGCTCATAGTGTTATTCTTTTTATTCATATAATATTCATATTCTTCGTAGTATCAGGGATAATAGCATTACTAGCCTTAGTATCATGAGGAGTCTGAGCATTCCTCTTCATATTCTTCTTAGTTAATAATGAGAAGAAGGCTAAGGTCTTCTTCTCATTACTAAAACTATGCTTAATGATATTAGCAGTTGTTTCTAAATCCGATTAATTTTCTGATGTGTATTCTTAGTGCTCCTCTTATTACTACTAGTATTCCTAGTACTCCTCCTCCTCCTCCTCCTCCAACTCCTTCTCCTCCTCCTCCTGATCCTCATCCTCCTCCGCCTCCTCCTCCACCCCCACCTCCGCCTCCGCCTCCGCCTCCGCCTCCGCCTCCTCCTCCTCCCCCTCCCTCCTCCTCCTCCCCCTCCTCCTCCTCCTCCTTCTCCTCCTCTTCTTCGTCTTCTTCGTGTTCCACCTCATCGTCCTCCTCCTCCTCCTCCTCCTCTTCCTCCTCCTCCTCGTCCTCGTCCTCGTCCTAGTCTCGTCCTCATCATATATCATCATCATCATCATCATCATCATCATCATCATCATCATCATCAATATCATCATCATCAGCATCAGCATCTCATCATCATCACATCATCATCATCCATCATCATCATCATCATACATCATCATCATCATCTCATCATCATCATCATCATATCATCATCATATCATCATCATCATCATCATCATCCGCCTCCTCCTCCACCTGCACATGCGCCCCACCTCCGCTCCGCCCCCTCCGCCCGCCTCCTCCTCCTCCTCCTCTCCTCCTCCTCCCCTCCTCCTCCTCCCCCTCCTCCTCCTCCTCCTCCTCCTCCTCCTCCTCCTCCTCCTCCTTCTCCTCCTCCTTCTCCTCCTCCTCCTCCTCACTTCCCACCACCGCTCGCCGTCGAATAGAACCTGGAGCGCCCAGGCTGCCCTAGGCCCTGGGGGCCCTGGGGCAGCCCAGGGCAGTCCCACCCGCCGGGTTCAATGCGTGCTGGGCTGTGCGTGCCAAGCCTTCGGTCGGGGGGAACGAAAGGGCGGGATAGCAAAGGGTAGGGCCCAGAGATCCAACGCATTGAAAACAAAAAAAAACTAGACAAATGTTTTTCGCAGTTTTTGGCCTTTCGGGGCCCTCGCCGGGCCTCGGGACCGTCAAAAAACGACTCAGGCCGAAAAACCGGTCCCGGGGAAAGGGTCGGGACTTCCGGGAGCCCAGTATTGAAAAAATCACGACATCGGATCTCTGGGAAATGGTAGGGTAGAGAATCAGCTCACGTAGCTGAGTCTCACAGCGCCTCCCGGCGCTGGGAGGCGCCCATGCATCGAGGAATGGGCCCGGCGGCGGGGCCGAAACCAGCTGCATGCAGCAGATGTCGTAACCCCTCCTTTCCCTATCCCCCCCCTTTCGTTCGGACCGATTAGGTCGGGCATGTCATCCTAGAGGCGGATTCTGGACGAAACAAAAAAAATGCGCAAGGATAGTCGGAAAAGCCGTCCCCGGACGACGTCTTGACTGTTTTCGAACGTTCCTCCTGCGGAGACACACGCCCGACGTCAGCCTGCCCGCCGGGCTCCGCACGGGCCGGGCTGCGCGCGCCAAGCCCGCGGGGCGCCATGGGCGCCCGTCGTCGCTCGTCGCCGGGCGCCGTCGTCCCGCGAGTCGCGATTTCCCTCTCTCCATCTCTCTCTCTCTCTCTCTCTCTCTCTGCATGGGCCCCAGGACACACAAATAAATACACACAAATGGAAATATTCCCCATATTTTCCCATATTTTCTGGGCTTCTGTCTTCCCCCCCCCACTTCCCATATTTTCCCATAGTTTCTGGGGAATCGAGGATTGGTTGTGTCTGTGTGTTTCTTTTCCTCCTGGCTCTCTCTCTCTCTCTCTCTCTCCCTCCGCGGGGCGCGGCCGGAGCGAGCCGCGGCGCGCTGCGGGGGCGCCGCCCCGCGAGGCGTCGTTTTGCAGCAGCCTCGCATGACGTGCTGCAGCGGGTCTCTGCGTGGACTCCTGCCACCGCTAAACCCCGAGGCGGCGATCGAGAAACGAAGCGAATTTCACGCGGGTGTTTGTTTGGCCTGCATTCCTGGCCAAGAAAAACCCGCAAGAGATTCGCTCCGAAATCATTATCCAGGACACTCCGTGCCCATCCGATTGCTCTCCGAACGAGGTCCGCAATGCGATGTTGGCGCCATGAGATGTGGTCCGAGTCCGCGACGAGCAGCACACAAAAAAAAAACTGTTCTTGCGAGGCGGGGATTTATCCACATCCAACGCCTGGGAACCGACGTCCTGGTGCCGTAGCGGGCGGTGGATATGGATGTATGTCAGCCCCCGGGGGCCCGAATGTGTCCACATCCACCGCCTGCCGAGGCTCCGAAAACTGACCCTCCAGGCGGTGGTCACGTATAAATCCCACCAGCCCTTTAGGGCGTGAGTGGTTTAGCGAGCCCCCTCTGTCCTCACCCCCCCTTCTTCCCCTTCGGGGAGGGGTTTACCCCTCCCCCTACCCCCTCCCCCTGGGCCTAGAGAGGGCACCCCGCGGGTCGTCAGGGGGTCTTTTTCGACGCCTGGGAGGGCCAAAAAACGACGACCCTCACGAGGATTCTGGCCCCGACGGGGGGACGCTCTTGTAGCCCCCTCCTCTTCTGTGAAGCCAAAATCCTTGTTTTTACTAGGGTTTTGGCCCCATTTTGGCCTCCCGAGGGGGCCGCGCTCATCTTCCTTCATAGCAAAATCATTGATTTTACGAGGGTTTGGGGCTCATTTTGTCCTTGTCAGGGGGCAGCGCTTCTTTGCGCTTCTGAGGAGGTCGCAAGAGGCCCCAAGATGGCCCCAAGAGGCCCCCAGGAGCCTCCCAAGAGGCCTCCAAGAGGCCCCCAAGAGGCCCCCAAGAGGCCCCAAGAGGCCCCCAAGAGGCCCCCAAGAGGCCCCCAAGAGGCCCCCAGAGGCCCCAGGAGGGCCCCAAGAGGCCCCCAAGAGGCCCCCAAGAGGCCCCCAAGAGGCCCCAAGAGGCTCCAAGAGGCCGCCAAGAGGCCCCACGAGGAGTCCGAACGACTCACACCAGGACGAGGGGCCCGAACGACTCATACCACGAAGAACCCGAACGACTCACGCCAGAAGGAGGACCCCGAACGACTCCTACCAGGACGAGGCGCCCGACCCATTCACACCACGAGGAGCCCGAACGACTCACACCACGACGCGGGCCCCGAACGACTCACACCACGAGGAGCCCGAACGAGTCACACCAGGAGGAGGGGCACGAACGACTCACACCAGGATGAGGGGCCCGGACAACTCACACCACGAGAAGCCCGAACGACTCACACCAGGACGAAGAGCCCGAACGACTCACACCACGAAGAGCCCGAACGACTCACACCAGGAAGAAGGGCCCGAACGACTAACACCAGGACGAGAAACCCCAAACGACTCAAATCACGAGGAGCGCTTTCTCTCTCTCCTCCTCCGCCTCGTCCTTCTCCCGCTCCCCCCACAAGGAGGATGTACAAGGAGGCGGGAGGAAGGAGGAACAGGGGAGATATGCGGGGCCAAACGGACACACGCTTGAAAAACACGACTGTCGGCATGCTTCGCATGAGTTGCTGTTGTGAGATGGGCTGGTGGGGATACGCGAAGCGTAAAGAATTCCCGCCTCGGAGCTCTTGCGCATGATGCCAGTGCGGCCTTACGCCGCGGCTTCAGCGGGCTTCCAGCGCGGCACCTGGCCAGGGCCTCCCCCGCCAGGCCCATGCTGAGCCCAGCAGCGACGTATGCGGCACGCCCTCCTGGCTTAGCCGGGAGGGCCCAGGAACGGCCCGGCCAGGGGGCAGCGGATGTGTGTTGACTTCGTCGCCACTCCTCCTCCTCCTCCTCCTCCTCCTCTTCCTCCTCTTCCTCCTCCTCCTCCTCCTCCTCCTCCTCCTCCTCCTCCGCCTCCTCCTCCTCTTCTATAATTGGATTACCCCGAAACTGTTTTTGTGGTCGACTTTACTGAAGAATAAGGTAAAGAGAAACATGCATGACGTTTGTACATATACGAACATTATGCGTCCAGCTCCCGTAGATTCGACGGAGCCTGCACTTTGTTGGGGGGCGATTCAATGCGGTGGTCGGTCCCCTACTCGAAGCTCCTGGGCTCAGGATGGGCCTGGCCAGGGAGCAGTGGACATGTATAGCTCTCGTCGCCCGAACAGCGTGGAGAAACTGGCACTCCGAGTGCCAACATCTCCACGCTGTTCGGGCGACGACGCGCCAGCATGGCTGTCGCCACAGGGGGGCCCAAGCATCCCGGGCAACTACCATGCGCCGAGGCATCGGGAAGAGCGGCCCACACCGCAAGCAGAGCCGCGAGCAAAAGCAACGTCGACCCCCCAAAAAAATAAGCAACTTTGAACACGACCGAATTCACCGAAATCCCACCAGCCCTCTGGGCGCAGGTGGTCTAACGAGATTCCTCTTCCCTCTTCCAACAAAAAAACCTCTTCGCCTACGGGGAGGGTTTCACCCCTCCCCATGACCCCTTCCCCTGGATTTCTTCGGGGTCCGCGAGATGACAGGGCATCCAAAACGGCCTCGGCGAAGAAACCAGAATCACAGGTTTTTACCAAGGTTCTGGCCCCATGTTAGCCTTTTGGGGGGGGAACGTTATCCCATCTCCCCATTTGATCGATGGCCTTCAAGCTGCCCCCAAGAGGCCTTCCAGGCTCCCAGAGGGCCCCAAGAGAGCCCCAGGAGGGCCCCAGGAGGGCCCCAAGAGAGCCCCAAAGAGGGCCCCAAGAGGGCCCCAAGACCCTCAAAGAGCCCCAAGAGAGCCCCCATACCCTCCCAAAGAGCCCGAGGAGAGCTCCAAGAGGCAATTTTGAGGGCTCCTGGGAAAGGGCCGAAATCGAGGACACCCCATCTTTTGATCGACCTCCCCGTTTTCCTCTTCTCCCTTCGTCCCTTTTCCCGTCAGCTTTCGTGGGCAGGGTTTCTGACTGGGCTGGTGGGGATTGTTTTTCCGTCGCGGCCGCAAGCGGAAGCGCAGGCGGCGTCCGAAGTCAGCCCGGGCTACGAGCCAAACCTAATTACCTAAGCGCGCGAACTAACGGCCGCCGAAACTGCCGCCGGGGGACGCCGAGGAGCGACGCCGGAGACTGAAGGCAGAGCTGCGAGAGGTGCCAGGTGTGCCAGGCGGCTGAAGTGCGACCAGTCCAGGGGCGAGACCACCAGAAAGGCAAACGAATTGCACCTTGTCGCGCCAAGCGCCAGAGGTAAACGAGCCACCCGAGCTAAGCACGGCATAGCGTGGGGCTGAGCAAGCAGCCCAGCGTACCTGTGTCGCATGCCAACAGTGGCAACCTCACTGGTTGAACAAGAAGGCTAAACCACTCATGAGCAGTCTACGTGGAGGTGCACCCCACCATTGCAAGTCTCGTGGGGATACTTTTTTGGTCAGCGGGCAGACGCGTAAAGCAAACGTCGAGAGGGGGGTCTGGGGCACGGTCCAGCCTAATTAACTACCGAGCCACGCGCGAGACGGCCGGGCCAGCACTCAGCAGCGGCTGCCGGGGGATGCTGCTGGGGGGAGCTGGCAGGGTAGTCTTCTCGTGGGGATACTTTTCCGGTCGCGGCCGCGAGCGAAGAGCGCAGGCGGCAACAGAACTCGTGGGGACACGCGAAACGCGAAGAATTTCGTCCGGGGTCCTGCTGAGCGCGAGCACTCGCGCGCAGCCTCACTCGGGAGGCTCACGCGCGAGGGCCCGCGCGTGCCGACCCCGGGGCTTCTTCGCGGGGCGCCCGGCCGCGCGTGCCGAGCCCGAGGACGCCGACGACGACGACGACGACAACGACGATGACGACGCCGACGACGCCGACGACGACGACGACGAAGACGACGACGACGAAGACGACGACGACGACGACGAAGACGACGACGACGACGACGACGACGACGACGACGACGACGACGACGACGACGACGACGACGACGGCAACGGCGACCTGGACCATTGAGCTGATCGCCATTTCGCTGACGGTGAGCAGTACTGCACCGTCGATGGCGACGGCGATGGAAATAGCGCGCGCCACGGCGACGGGCGAGTTCGGTGCCGTGGTCACGAGCGCTAAGTGCGCTCAGCATTCGACAAGTATCGTGATCGTCATCGTCACCATCCGCCTTGCGACCAAGGGTCGTCGGATGGCGGTTTGTTCTCTAGTGATCAGTGGACTTCCGAGCCAAGAGGGGGCGGCGTCAATCGCCAGAGGCGTCCGCGATGACACTGGCACTCGTCCGACTCGTGGTGCTGGCAGTCTGGGTGCTAGTCCCCGTGGCAGACGTGATAGTCATGGTGACCGAGGTGACAGTGCTGGCTGTCGTCGTGATGCTTGTGCTTGTACTCGTCCAACTCAAAGTGGTTGCAGTCTGGGTGCTGGTCTCCGTGGCAGTTGTGGACAAACTGGTGATGGAGGTGCTGAGCGAAGTTCTGCTGGTGCTCGTTGTGCTCAGACTCGTCCAAGATCTTGTGGTCACAGTCTGGGTGCTGGTATGTGTCGCAGATGTGCTGGTAGCAGAAGTGCTAAGCGAGGTTCGGCTGGTGGTGAATGTTGACGTGCTGGTTGTGCTGAAACTCGTCCAGCTTTCGGAGGTCAGCGTCACGGTACTGGTCCCTGTCACAGACGTCAGACTGCTGGTAATAGAAGTGATAGTGGACGATATGGATGTTGTGCTTGTGTTCGTCCAACTCGTGCTGCTGACAGTCTGGGTGCTAGTCCTCGTGACAGACGTGATAGTCATGGTGACCGAGGTGCCAGTGCTGGTAGTCGTCGTGGTGTTTGTGCCTGTACTCGTCCAACTCATTGTGCTGACAGTCTGGGTGCTGGTCCCCGTGGCAGACGTCGACGTGCTGGTGGCGGTCATGGTGATCGAGGTCGCACTAGTGTTGGTTTCACTTGTGCTCGTCCAGGTTGTAGTGCTTGCAGTAAGGCTACTGGTCCATGTGGCTGACGTGGTCGTGGCCGTGGGAGTCGTGCTCGTGCCTGTGGTCATTGTCATGGTTGTGTCCGTTCTCGTCCAGCTCGTGGTGCTGTCAGTCTGCGTGCTGGACTCCGTGGCGGACGTCGACGTACTGGTGGCAGACGTGGTGAGCGAGGTCACGCTGGTGCTGGTTGCACTGGAGCTCGTCCGACTAGTGGTACTTGCGGTCTGGCTACTTGTCCCTGTGGCAGACGTGGTCGTGGTGGTGGCAGAGATGCTCACTGAGGTCACGCTTGTGCTGGTGGCAGACGTGGTGAGCGAGGTCGCACTGGTGCTGGTTGCGCTGGTGCTTGTCCGACTTGTTGTGCTCGCCGTCTGGCTGCTAGTCCAGGTGGCAGATGTGGTTGTGCTGGTAGCGGAGGTGCTTACTGAGGTCATGCTTGTGCTGGTGATCGTCGTGAGGCTTACAGTGGTACTCGTGGAGCTGTCAGTCTGCGTGCTGGACTCCGTGGCGGACGTCGACGTACTGGTGGCAGACGTGGTGAGCGAGGTCACGCTGGTGCTGGTTGCACTGGAGCTCGTCCGACTAGTGGTACTTGCGGTCTGGCTACTTGTCCCTGTGGCAGACGTGGTCGTGGTGGTGGCAGAGATGCTCACTGAGGTCACGCTTGTGCTGGTGGCAGACGTGGTGAGCGAGGTCGCACTGGTGCTGGTTGCGCTGGTGCTTGTCCGACTTGTTGTGCTCGCCGTCTGGCTGCTAGTCCAGGTGGCAGATGTGGTTGTGCTGGTAGCGGAGGTGCTTACTGAGGTCATGCTTGTGCTGGTGATCGTCGTGAGGCTTACAGTGGTACTCGTGGAGCTGTCAGTCTGCGTGCTGGACTCCGTGGCGGACGTCGACGTACTGGTGGCAGACGTGGTGAGCGAGGTCACGCTGGTGCTGGTTGCACTGGAGCTCGTCCGACTAGTGGTACTTGCGGTCTGGCTACTTGTCCCTGTGGCAGACGTGGTCGTGGCGGAGGCAGAGGTGCTCACTGAGGTCACGCTTGTGCCGGTGGCAGACGTGGTGGTTGCACTGGCACTCGTCCGGCTCGTGGTGCTGAGCGTCCGGGTGCCAGTCTCCGTGGTAAACGTTGACGTGCTGGTAGCGGAGATGCTGGTCGAGGTCGCGCTCGCACTGGTAGGCGTCACTGTGGTGGCGCTCACTGTGCTGACACTCGTCCCACTCGTGGTCTCCTCTGGGGAAGGGGGGCAACAAGGGACGGCAAGAAGCGGGCAGGAGGGCGGATGGAAACCTCAGTAGGAGGGCCGGAGCAGACGGTGCTGGAGGGTCTCTTTGAATGTCATTCATGTGCTGCCGACGTCGGGGACGGAAATAACCGGGCTCCAGATCGCACTGCATCGCAGATGAATCGGCGATGCGGCGCGATCCTCCGCCAATCTGCTCCAGCCCCATTGGGAGGCCTGAAGTGGAGGATGACGAAGAACGAGAACGAGAGGGAGGATGACGAGTTTGGTTTTGAACTCCGCCTGGGATCATCCGAGGACGTACCTAGGACGAAGAGAAAGAAAAAGGACTGGTAGAGGGAGACTCGGAACTGTTAACAAAAGCCCTCCAGCAGAATCTCGTTCTCTCATCCGAGTTCCCATCCCACTCCCCCACACACTACATATCTTGAAGCAAAGGCTGGCGAGAGGGGTCCACGAAGATAACGTCGTGCACATCGGGGGTGATGGACGCCAACGGATGGAGAAATAAAATCCGCCTGTCCCCTTGTGGGGTCATCAGGCTGCGGGGAATAGGCTTGCCGTTCCCTGTTCCAGTTCCAGTTCCAAATCTCCGGTGCTGTAGTTCTGGTCTCTACTTCCTACTAGAAGTCGCTACTGTCCGCGCGAGGGAGGTGGGGGGGCGAAGCAGCATCTACCGTGCCCGGACACGCAAAAAAACACCAGATTCGCCCCATGAGGCTACGACCCCTCATGAATTATATGACATTCGCACCCCCCTGGCCACGACCCGTTGCAAATTACGCCGCACTCGCGTTTCCGAGCCACGATCCGTTGTAAATTACGCCATGTTCTCGTCCCCGAGGCCACGAACGCTCGCAAATTGCGCTGCACTCGCGACCCCAAGGCCACTACAGGGCCCCTGAGGCCACGAGCCCTCGCAAATGACCCCAGCTTCGCGTGCCAGAGGCCCGGACCGTTTGTAAATCATGCAGTCCTCCCGTCGCGGAGGCAACGATCGCCAGTAAATTGCACAACGTTCGCGTTCCTCGCAAAGTCCGCAAATTCTGCGTCCCCGAGGCCGCGATCGCGCGCAGATGAATCCGGATTCGCGTCACCGAAGCCACGATCAAGTCTTTCATGTACAAGATTCACATATCCGAGGCCACGATCCCTTGTAAAGTACGCAATGTTCGCGTCCCCGAGACAACGATCCGCAATAAATTACATAGTATTCGCGTTTCCGAGGCCATCACCCTAAATTCCACTGCACTCGCGTCCCCGAGGCCACGATCGTTCGCAAATCATGCTGTATTCGCGCCCCCGAGGCCACGATCCGTGCTTCGGCCCACCGCAAAGTACACAATGTCTGCATCCCCGAGGCCACGATCCCTCGTAAATAAGGTCAGGCTCGGTTCCCCGAGGCTACGATCCCTATAAAATTACTCTATGGTCGCGTTTCCGTACTC